TGCCCATTTGGGCCTCAACGCTGGTGGTCAGAGCAGAAGGATTACTTCCTGTGTTTTGCAAGCTATATTCTTGTTTACATAGTCCCATATGGTGTTTTCTTTCTTAATGACAGCATGATTCATTGACTTACATTCATCTGTTCCACTCTGTAGACTCCAGGCAATCTTCCTAGGAACTGCATTTTTTGCATTTGATTATTTCTGCCTAAGCATATCCATTGCCCATGGATATTAGCCTATTTTTCCAGTTTCAGAGATTTTTTTTTTTTAAATTCTGGTGTCTTCCATCATAGTTGCAGCCCTTCTTCTAGATATGTCACCTGGAGACAAGACAAACAGAGTCATTACCTTTCTTTCTGGAAGTGTCCTGTTGCCTTGTCCAGTGCTCACAAAATCCCCATAGCCCCTAATTGCTCAAATACTTTGGAATATCTTTCTGTAAATGTTGCTGACACACTGCCATGTATTCTGTAGGACATTCAGAGAACTGAATCCAGCTATTTTAAAATTTCAGCTAGCAGCTGGCTCACCTTTTAAAAAGTCATCCTATACTCTCATCCTCAGTGTGCAGTGATAGTTTTTTTTTTCTGGCTTACATAATTTTCTTTGTACCTTGAAGTGATGATGGTGTCCAGGTTGATTTGTCATAAGATGATTTTCCCCCAGTCTTCCCAGTCCTCTAAGTAATTATGGGCCTGTGAAAGAAGCAGCTCTGTTTATTCTCACTGAAGTTGTTCATTGTATGAAGTCAAGCCTGCATGTGTAACTGTTCATAAAACTGTAAATTTCCTAACCCAACCCTGATAAAAAAACCCTAAAAAAAGAAGGCTATAATCAGAGTTCAGGAGAGATTATGTTTTGATCAAAGTCAAAGCAGCAGCTCCATTAAAATTTGTGGATTGCAGAGGCTGCAGAATACATGGTCTGGCCTAATGATGAAGAAAATTATTTTTTAAAACCCCAATTCTTTCTCAAAAATACCATCTCATATTTCCCTTAATATTTTCCAGAAGTTGTGTACACCTGCTTGCAGTCACTGTTCCAAAGCACCTGTCTTTGTGTAGAGAAGTATTGTCTTCCATCAGTGCAACAAATGAGGCCTTTCCCTGTGCTTTTCCTTAAAGACTAGGCAGTACAGTTGATGTTTGATTCATAAGCTTTTGATCCATACTTAATCCTAGGGTGGCATGCATCCAGAACATGCAGAGCGTTGGATATTGTGTACCTAATGAAGTAGCTGTTGGTGTACAGCACAGTAGGAAACTCTCTCATGTTCTCAAACAGCTACTGTAGAGTTCGTCCATGTTCCCTGCATGGGCCTTTGGGGAGAGAGGCTGAAAGAGCCCCTGAGAAGCAGGGCCTCTTCTGTTTGTTCCCCTTTCTTTGCAGTGGATTTACAGTGACGGTACGATTCAGCGATAGGTTTTTTATTTTTCATCCTAGAGCTACTTAGGCTGCACTGTCATTTCACAGCAACATAATCCCGTAAAATATGATGTTATTGCTCATTTCAAAATGCTATCTTTTACAACCATAGGTCAGGAGAATGTCCTCTGGAAACAGTGGAATTATTTGCATTTTATTTGGTAAGAATATAATTAAAGAGACAGGAAAGCAATGAAATGTAGCAGTAATGAAGTAAAACAGATGCCAGAAATGTTTCAGTCTTTCCGTTTACAGGAAAGAGAGATGCTGTAATCCTGATTGACTTTAGGCTTACAGTTTGGGTGTAAAGCAGTCCAGCGCTGGGGAGATGCCCAGAGGCATGACTTGCTATGGCAAGCTTCAGACAAATCTGTTGTCTCACTACATTCAGTTATACTTTAAGAGAAAGATGTAAGAGGCAAGAGAGTCCAAAGAAAAGAGATGGAGGTTATGCAGGATCACAGTTGCAGACCTATCTTCTAGAGAATGTCTTAATCACCTCAGAGGCTTCTTTGGAAAGGAAAGGGCTTTGCAAAAACTGGAGAGAGTGATACAGCCTTAGCCCTTCTCTATTATTATGCTTTACAAGACCTAATTGTTTCTCCCCAGGCAAAACGGGGCAGCTTTGCTTTTGGTGTCCAGTTCTCTGATTTGGCAACATGAAGAGACTAGCAGGCTAGTTTCTAAAAAAAAAGCCCAACCCTTCCATCATCAAGAGAGAGCAGGACATCAAGATCAGTGACATAACATGAAAGGGGTGATAGAAAACCTCAACAATTCCTGTTAAGCGAGCAAATGGTAATAATAATATAATAATTAAAAAAATAATAATATGGAGATAATATCTTTACAAAAGTTTCAAAAATTGCTCTAGAAACCCTCAACCTTGTTGAAGCAGGGGCTCAACTCACTTGGGCAGAAGAACAAGCTATTATTAGTTAGGCATTTTACAGGAGTGTCTGTGCCTTCTATTGCTTCTCACACAAAGTCTCAAAGTGTGCTATAGAGTGGTCAATAATATTGTTCCTGCTGTGCTGAAAGGCCAAATAAACACTCTGTTGATAATTTGCCTGGGGTTACCCAGAAGCAGAGCAGAGGACTCTGGAGTGCCTGCTTAGTACGTTGTTCACTCAATCAGTGCTTCCTGAGAAGAATCCACCCGGGGAAGGTTGGCACAATATATTCACACAGACAGAAATCACATCAAAGAGTTTAACACCTCAAATTGACAAAGGCGAAGCAGGAGCACAGAGGGATGCGTTAATTTTCTTCTAGTCTCGCAGCAGGTTCACAGAAGAAACACGGCTCCAATCCAGGTGACTTGCTGACAAGCAGCCCACCTCCAGGCCAGGCTGGCTCAGCCAGGGTCTGTGGTCACACTCTCTTCTCCTGAGCTGACACCCTGTTTTCACCTGGAGGTGGAAGAGAGAAGTGGTAATATGAGATACATTTATTTTGCACACCGGTGAACTTCTAGCAACAGAAAACAGAAAAACTCTCTGGCAAAGGGGAACAAAATAAGAAGAGAATTTAGAAATGCTATACCATACATTTCACATTTGGCAATTTGTACTTCAGAGTTGAAACAATTTTGTACGTGCCCTTTGAAAGTGTGAGGCTGCATGCATGAAGAAAGTACCTATTTCCTTTATGCTTTGAGCAGGAGCCATATGTTTTAAAAATTAAAAAGAACAATTAGTCTTGGAGCATTAAATCTGCCCATCTAGGTAGCTGACTAGCTTTCTCACAGACATGGCTGTCCCAGAACAAAGCTGAGGAAACAAGGCTTAGAAATGTAAATATTAGTAGGTGTGCAGGAATATAAATTAGGAAAACAGACAATTTAAACTACTTTAATTTACTTTCATTTGCTGAGTTCGCAGGCTGACATCAGAAGTTACATCTGTCAGGTTGCTAGCAGGGTAAAGTATGGAGGCAGAGGGACATGGGGACACGATAAGCTCGGTGCCCATAATGGCAGTTGGATCTGCAATGACAGCATATTATCTCATGTAAGAAGTCCCTAATAGAAATAGAAGCTTCCCAACATCTCCATCAAACATGGAAGGTACCATATAGGGGTAGCTATCAGCTCAGCAGGAGCTTCCAGGCATCTGGACACTTAAATCACATCCTTATTACAAACACCTCTGGATTCTCTGATTGAGGTTTTCCTACTTTGCTTGGGAGGATTACGGATGGAAGGAAGATTAAATGATAAAGTGAGTCATGTGAGAGTGAGGGAATGCCTACACGATGAAAGAAAGGGTGACTGGAGGAGACCTTTTTATTTCAGTGGATTGTGTGGAATAGAAAAATACAGATTTAAGTCATTCTGATGCCTAACACTTGCTTAGATGCACAAGGTTTTTGCATTGTGCCTGTTTTGACTGAGATCCTTGGGGTAAGGGCCGTGGGTTTTTCAGATCACCTAGCACAGTATTGCCCTAGTCTTTGTGCAGTCCTGGAATGCAAATATTAACTATTATTTTTTTCATGGCAGGCTGCATTTACTAAGAGACTTTGTTTATCTGATTTAATTATTTTCTGCTTAAACAAACAAGTTCCTCTTAGTTTTCTGTTTGTTTGGTTTTGTTTTTTAAGTACTACATTCAGGTGAGAAATGTGCCTTTGCAATATTTGACAGTTACTTTTGTAAGTTAATAAAAATCAGAATGTATGTAGCCCCAAATGTCAAATGTATCATTACAGTTGGTTTTCAATGTCTGTTTCAATCTGGTAGTTTTGTGCTTGGCTGCCATCATGGAGCAAAAGGTAGCAACCACTGAACAACACTCAAAACATCCAAAACATCTAGCCATTTAACAGGCAGACGGAAAATCTATAAACCAGTGTGACAAACCACCTGCTTCTCCTTTCCTACTGTTCCTTTTTCTATTCTGTAAATGCAAATTATATGAATCTCTGTCACCAAGAAATCTGCAGACTCTAACAGAATGTCAGCCTTCAAGTTGGCTGCATTTGAGAAGGCAAATAATAAATAGGAGGATTGGTACACATTTTCCATGCCATTCATTATTCTGTGGAGGTCTTTCTCATATCTATTCTTATTTGATTCCTCTAGAACATGGCCACATTTGACTTAGTAGTTGTTTTGCCGAAAAGCAATGGAAGCTACTGCACCATTTCAATAACTTGCTTTCAGATAGTCATCATTTCATTTTAATTTTGTGCTTTTTACAATTTATAGCTAAGTAACAGAGAAGGAACTACTCTGGAATCTGCTTTTAAGGCAAGTTACAGTCCAAGAGCAAAATTTAGAAGCAGCATTTAGACACCATTCTGAGAAATATGTGTTATTGTGGTTGCGAAATAGAATCCACCATCTGATTTGGGAATACTTTTGTGTCAGTATTGGCTATTTTCTGACCCACCTTGATGAAGAGACTATATGAATCTCATTGCTGGAATAGATGAGTGTAAGAGGCTTCTGTATAACAGGCTACAGTTTATGTTTATCATTTTAGCTGAAGAGGAAAGGTGGGAAAAGTAGAATGGGGATCCACATCTATCAGCTAATTTTTCCTTTTTTAAATTCTGTTTTTATTTTGCAGGTGATGGAAATTAAAGGACAAATGATTCATGTGCCAGAATCAAATTCGATTTTGTTTCTGGGTTCCCCCTGTGTGGACAAGCTGGATGAACTGATGGGCCGAGGCCTCCATCTTTCGGACATACCTATCCATGATGCTACTCGCGATGTCATACTGGTTGGGGAGCAAGCAAAAGCCCAAGATGGCTTGAAAAAACGAATGGATAAGCTGAAGGCAACGCTAGAATGCACACACCAAGCCCTGGAAGAGGAGAAAAAGAAAACAGTAGATCTCCTTATTTCTATTTTCCCTGAAGAAGTGGCTCAGCAGTTGTGGCAGGGGCAGCAGGTTCAGGCCAGGAAGTTTGATGATGTCACCATGCTCTTCTCGGACATTGTTGGCTTCACTGCCATCTGTGCCCAGTGCACGCCCATGCAGGTCATCAGCATGCTGAATGAACTCTACACGCGGTTTGACCATCAGTGTGGATTCCTGGACATCTACAAGGTAATAGCTCAAGTCCTACGTTAGCAAAATCTAATTGAAACTAAGATGCCTGTAGCCATCTTCCTAAATTACAGACCTTCCATATCAAAATGGAGAGGCAATAGTTTTGTTTCACATTACAAAATTAAAACTGAAACTTTGATGCTGAGCTGTCATCTTAGTTTCCCCATGGGAATACATACCTCATATTCCCATTTTCCTATAAGAATGTTCACCTCCTGTATTATAGCCTGGTTTCCTTAAGGTGACACATCAGCCACACTGTCCTAAGGGAGATGAAGTGCACAGTGATCATCCCAACGGAAGCTGCAGCTCCTGGAAGGCACTCAAATACTTTCTGTTTCAGCTGAAACTTGAATAGTTTAGGGTTTAGGCACTTATCTTTCCCCTGAAAGAATTCAAAATTTCCACAAAGAGCAGAGAATTCACTAAAAAAAGTGTTATAAAAATTTAAGTTTCCACTGAAAAGCAGGAAGAAGACAGCAGATGTCCATTCATAGTAAATGGAATGAGTGGGACATGGCACAGGGGTGCCATGCTCCTTTCCTGCTCAGCAGAAAAGATGTTGCATATGTTGGTCCTGTTACAGACTTTATGACCTTCACTTCTCTTCAGTGGATTTAGTGTCCAGTATGTATTTAAGAGAAAAAAGAGTGGAGGTAGAATTTAATAAATGTTAAGATATTATCTGTATAACCATCCTGTGAAATCTACAGAGAACATGTTTTGTATATGGATTACTTTTAAATTTGTATTAGTAAAAGCAGAGAAAATTTCTTTTTATAACTGAATTCACCAAAAAAAAAAAAACCCTGAAATTTTAAAATTATATATCGACTTCATTATCTGCTCAAGGCTTGCAAACTAAATCATCAGTTTTCAAACCGTTTCAAATAGAATTTGTTGATAGACTATAGAGAAAAGTTTTTCACGAGACAGACGTCACTTTTGTTTTCAGCCTGAAATGCACTTTAAAAGGCATCCAAAAATATTAATTACCCACCTAAATAAAAATTGTGTCTGGAAAGCTACAATACATACCACAGATAGAACTGAACATGGTATAGGTTAGTAGGACAGTACACCACAAAAAAAGATCACTCTGTAAATAAGTTTTGTGCTCCTGAGTGATGGGTTTGTATTACTAATGCTCAGAAGCTAAAGGCCATGTTGGGAGAGGACTACAATGGAAGGTACCAACCCTCATTTGAAAATTGTTATGGTAATATAGTCAGAAAAGATTGGAAGTTTGATCTCAGTTTGTAATAATCTGATATTGCTGCACTTGGACTTGAGCCAGCTCTGAGAAAGGGACTTGAGGAACTTCTGACTCATAGTCAAGAGTGATATCTAGTGACCTTGTTTCACATGTTGTATCTGGTACAAGGGTGCAATTAGTGTTTTCCCAGATGATTAATTTTAGTTAGCTGTTTTGAGGCATTCAGGACATTCTTTGTTGAAAACTATGGTTGCATGGGAAATAAAGTACGTAAAACTCTGACCTGTTTGGACAGAAGGTTGATTCAGTCCTGTGAGAATGCTAAGCAGGAATATTTACACATAGGTCATGAATATCATATCATTTAGGCCATGTCTTTCTGCCTTTCACCTAGCTTTGTGCCACATTAGAGAGAAATATCATACTGTATAGAAATACTGTCCTGACCAGTGAAAAAAGATGATGGCTGCTGAGACAGGCAAGATAAAATTTATACATTCAGAAAAGGAATAAACACTTCAGAAAGTTAAGAACCCTATGTGATTCTATGATCAGGGGAATAAACAAAACTTATTTTTGTATAGAAGGATATCTTACACCTCTAACACCCTTTCTCCACTGTTTCTGCTGTAATATAGCCAGTTCTTTCTCAGACCCTTTCATCGTGGGTTTTCCTCCATTTCCCTACTCCCATGTCCCCTGAGTAGCCCTACACATTCCCTGCTTCCCTTCACAGCCCACCCACGAGCAAGGCAGTGTACACTGTGGTTGTTTTCGAGCTGTATGTACCTTTTTTTCCCTCCCCCCAAATCTTTTTTTTCATTTGTTTTTTAACTGGAAGTCTAAAAAAGTTACTGTGGGGCTAAGAGAAAATGCCTTAGTTAACCACTACAGTAAGACAAAACTCAGGCAATGAACCCTTTTTCTTTTCCTTAAGAAAGAATCAGGCTTAAAATAACATGACAATTCTTTTGAAAAAGCATTTACATTTAAAAATAAAAACAGCTTGTGTTTTTATATCTTTTTCATTTGTTTCAGATGATATTCTGGAAACTAAGTTTATTGCTAGGAATGATCACCACCACAACAGCTATAATTTTAGAAATCATTGTCAGGCAGTGAATTTTAGATATGTAATCACCAGTACTTGTACCTACAGCCTGCCTCTAAGATAGACTCCTGTAATTAGGCTACAGAAATTTAACATGTGACATATATATATCAAAACACATCAATTTTCACATTTGCTTGTTTTTAAGCAACATGGCAAGAATAATTTGCAAAGATCATTTGGTGAGTACTTCTGAATACCAAATTCACTGTTTCATAAGCACAAAATTAAGTAAAATTAATTAAATAAATTCTATGCTGTAAGTTGTTCACCAAGCTTTACTGTTACAACATTTAAAATTCAGAACCTTGTTGCTTCTAATCTTGGACTCAGACAACAAATGTAATATTTTCAATTGTCTCACACTGTTCATTCAGGGATGTTTACAGAAAAGTATGGCACAGAAAGAAGAACAAAGATCCTCGCATTTAACAAGTCAGACAGAGTGTAAGCATAATGAGCTGTGGGATACAGAATAAGAAATGCTTGGAGAGGGTTGAAGAGGGAAAAATTAGACTTTGAAATTTCTTGGAAATGAAAGTAAGTAGCTGTAACTGATGAGGTAGGGAAAAGATATCCAATGGACGGATGCATAGGTAAGAATGACACAGGTAGATGATGGGCTAAGAAAATGAACTTCACAGCGGTGTTATGAATGGATACCAGAAATGACAGATTACATTTGTCCAAGCTGAGAGAGAACGTTGCAGTAATTAACATGCATGGTGATAAAAGCCTGGGTGACAGTTGTAGCAATCTGGAAGTCTCTGTGCTTTAGAGAGTGAAACTTTAGAAAGAATCTGCTTACATATAGCCTTGATGAAAAGATCAAGAGGGACACTCTTGGGGTAATCACAGAAGGGAGAGGATGTGAGAGAACTGAGACCTGGCAATGCATTTGGAAACTGGTGCTGCAGACTATCTGAGCTAATTAGATTTGGCTTGGAATTGAGGAATGGGAGAAAAAGATGCTGTTAAGCAGAGAATGTAAATCAAAGTGATGTAGCTGCAGATGCTTGGTAAGCTAGTGCCTGTGGACATGCAAGTAGAAACATGGACTCCAGGAGCAGAAGTAATGGGAGAGAGAAGATCTCAGTAAATTTGGAAAGCAATTGATTTGGGTGAAATATATACTGATTGGCCTGACTGTTTGTGTCTTTGTTTGACCTGGTTTTCTCTGTATCTAAGTTCCTGTTGTTTATGAGCCAAGTGCTGGGAAACGATGCTCCAGCTAAACCATGTCTTTATCAAATAAGCTATTTAGATATGCTGCAGCCATGGCTGCTGGCATTTAAAACTTAACACTGCAGACTGAAATCTTCCCTGCTCAAGATTCCTGCAGCTTCTGTTTCTCTCTCCAAGTAATATGTCTTTGTCATTGGATCATGTGAAATATTTTTTCTAGTTGACTACTTCTGCCTGTGTAGGCCTGCTTTCTGAACTCTTTTTCCCTCAGTTCCTTTCTGAAACAACCCCATTTCCCTCCCTCCCCTTTAGCTTCTGTGTGAGTAAAGGCAGCACATACTGTGGCTGTTTTATTGGCCATACTTGCACTGGCTGGGTTGGCTATATTTGCTGGCCAGGTAACACCAAGCCACATAGAGCAGAACCAGGCCTGCTCCTGTAGGTGTTAATTTCTTTGTCCTTTCCCTGGACAGTGCAGCACTTGTCCTTGAAGACATTTGCAGATTTTCCCCTAACACTAAACTTCCCTTTCTGTGAAGTGCTGAGTCCCACTTCCTGTGTCTAAGCAAAGAGTCCTAAATGTTTTCAAAAATGAACTATTGTCAGCTGCCAAAATTTCTTTGCTATACATCTTTGTTGTCAAAATTTTAATTGAAAATTTATTGAATTAGAAAATATGATTCCACGGGTTAATTTTATAGTTCACAACTTTGTTATGTGAATTTCTGCTTTCTTTTTGGTTTCATTATTTGGCTAAACTGACACTCTCTCTGAGGGCTGCCACACACACGTTGCAAATTCCTTTACCAGCTTCTTTGGGGTTCTCTATGGTGGCTATTCCTGGCAGCATTATTTCAGTTACTTTACACTGAATGATACTGTTTTATTTTTCTGAATGATACAGTTAGTATGTCAGATCTTCACCCTAAACTTTTGCTTGTTGTGAAGACCTGAGACTGAAAAGGGTGAGAAGTCTGGACCGCTCTGCAATCATTCAAGACTGATACTCACCAGGTCTGAAAAATGTTTGTATTGAGGTTTTGATATAACGCTTTTAGGAACCTAATTTAAAACTCACATTTTCTAAAAATATCACTTTACATTTTTATACTGGTAGTTTAAGTTGCAGAAATCAGTATTCATTTTACAAAAGATACCAGTACTTTCTCAGTGCCATGAATACCCTTCTTTGAGAACCAATATTTGAACATACTCGTATATATGTTCTGAAGTTCACAATCCATGCTATAATGACTAAAGAATACCACAATGACAGAAGTTGTAAGCTTCATACTATTCTGAGGTTTTCCAGGCTTTATGGTGCATAAGTTAAAACCATTGTCTTTGAGTTTTCGTGTAAAATCTATGATGGCCCCTATGTTTGTCTTCTTTCTATTGCTTCTGCAGTTTCAACCTTTTAAGTTCAGTGCAACTACATGACCATTTTGAAAAGGTTTCAAATTCTTCTAGCTTCAGCTTAGGCAT